GTTTGAATCCAGAAAATCTATTCCCTCTCTCCTCAGATTTTCTTGGACTTTCCCCACCCTCCACACCACCGTCTCTCATCCCACTCCATCTCAGCCTTTGCTTCACAGTTCTCCTAAGAACTGCTGAAAGCCACTGATATTTCTCCCTCTACTCTCCTGTGCTTTCGCTCAGAGGAGCTGAGAAATACAGAATCATCAGGTCGTTAGGTTAGATCTAGGCTTCTCTAACCTACCAACAAGACTCCCCAAAGAAAAAAAAAGCACCAACCTTCAAGTAGGCCGTCAGACTCCTGAAATCTACAGGCAGATCATACCCGTGCTGGTAAGAGTGGATGGCCCCACCCTGGGGCAACTTTGCCAGCTGACAGCCAGGAGGATAGCAGCCTGGAAGGGAAGCTGCTAGCAGCCCAAGCAAGTGGAGGGAGCTGTGCTGCCTGTTCATGGTCCCTGCCCCAGGGCTAGCACTCTTTGAGCTTTTAAGTTCTCAGAAACCTTCAGAATTCCAACTCATTGCATTTCAAGATGGAGTCTATTTGGCTGCTGTAATGAATTACTAAAGACTGAGTAACTTCGAACAGAAATTTACTTCTCATATTTCTGGGCACAGAGAAATCTAAATCAAGGTACCAGCAGGTTCAGTGTCTGTGAGGTGGCTTATGATCCCTGGCTCTGCTATTCACTGGCAGGATAATCTCAGGCAGTTCACCAACTACGGAATGGTGGCCATGTGGGAATTATCTAATGATATATGCAATAGAGTGGATGATCGATAAATGAGGAGGGTAGTAAAAGTTCTGAGCCTCCATTAAGCCAGAATTCATACTTCAGAGAAGCTTTAGAGTTACTGCTAACCTTGATGTTGAGTGCTGGGATCTGCTGCCAACTTGGGAGTTTTTGAGCGCATGATTAATTGTTAATTCTCTAATTGCTCCTCTGCTCCTTTTCCCACATCCTACTGCATTCATTGTGCAATGTCTGGTGCCTATCAGGAACTCAATAAATGTTTGCTGAACTAAGCCTATAAACCAAACTTCTTAGCTTATTCTAAAGAACCATTGCTCTTCTGAAGAGGATGGGAATTATGGGAACATCACCCACTGAGACTCTTGACAGAGAAACATGAGAAAGCATTTCCAGGCTTGTGGGGTGGAGCCTCTGGGAAAAAGCAGAAGTCAGGAAAGAACTGAGGCTGCTTGGAGGCTGAGGCTTTGGAGGCTTGGAAAAAATTGCAAAGAGAGTTGTTTCTGACTAACCAAGGACCTGAATGGGGTAGTTCACTGAATCAAAGAATAAATAATATGAATAATTTAGAAACCACCTAGAAATCAGTCTCAGGCCCAGAGAGGGCATGTGTCTTATATAAAATCAGATTAATAATAACAAAGCCAGGGCCAGGGTTCAGGGTTAATTATTCATTCAGTGCTTTTTTTCAAGATTGCAATTTTTTTAAAAAAAGGTACTTTTAACATGTTTAGAACAAATAGAAATGAAAGGGATAGGTCACTCCTTGGTGCATAGGGAATACTGTTGATAGATAAGAGTCCTATTTCACATCATCCTTCTCTATCAAGGAAATTGATCTTTAGCATGATAAAAGGATAGTCTAAAGTAGTTAGCAGATAATTAAGTTTTAGGACAGATAACAAGATAGAGAGTGCCTAATCAATTTAATTGAATTCAAGTCTCCAGTCCCAAAGACACTCCACTTCAGGCTACCAAGAGAATTTGCACCAGTTGTAACATGCTCCCTGGGGGCAAGCCTTGGAAACTACTTTCAGGGAAGGGTTAGCTGTCTACATGAGGCCACCAATTTCCTACAAGGCCTTTCACACCTAAGCTCTCTGCATCCAACACTTCACAGTTTCCATTCTACCTGGTGTCCTGGTCACTAAGTGGGCTAGCTAATTCTTTAATAGAATAAGGGTTTAAAAATCACAACAAATAAAATGAAGCATCTAAACCAACAAAGTGAAATTTAACAGAACAATGGGAAGTCCTGCATTTAGCATTGTTTTTCAAACCTGTGCAAATATAAAACAGAAGATATGTGGAATAATTCATATTCAAAATGCTTAGGAATCTTGGTAGAGCATGAGCTCACTTCTTTGTGTGATACTGCCAAAATGGTTAAAAAAAAATCTTGGAAGCATCAGTAAAGGCAGAATAAGAGGGCAGAGACTACTGGACTCTGTCAGGTAGATGTGACCTATAGTGTTCTGTTCAACTCTGTAAGTCTCCAAGGAAGAAAGAATAAAAGATAATACATGATCTGGAAGCCAGATCATGTGAGCTTAAAGGACTTGGGGATGTTCATTTTGGAGAACAAAAGTCTCTTCCACTGTAATCACTAAACTGTGGAGGAGGTAGTCATTTTTCTTTGTCATTTCATAAGGTTAATTAGATGAAGGCAAACTTTTATCAACATAAGAGAAAGGAAATTTGCATTGGTAGAATTCCCATTGCATGCTCCTTTGCGGTACTAGTTGCTTTTTATTATTTTGTTAAAACCTTTCAGAAGCAGTTGGATATTTAGCAGGCGGTGAGTGCCCAGGCACTGGATTCAGACCTCCAGATCAATTCACTTAAAGCACTGCGATCCCTTTTCTGCATCCAGGACTTGGGAATGCTATCCATGCCCTCTTGGAATCTGTTTCCTACCTGGAGTCAGACTTTCTGGGGCAGCAAAGGCCACTGTGCTTTTGCAACATGGATTTCTAACAGTGTCCATGTTCCACCTGGATGGCTGTCTGTGAATGAGTGCTATCTAATCCATATTTTTCCAAGCCACTATTTTCTAGCCAGTCTTAAATTTTGGACTGGTGAGATGTGTTTGTGGGAAGGAATAGGTGTGGTGGGGAGCTGAGGAGTGACAAGGGATGGGAATCAGTGAGGGAAGACTTAATACATTTTTTGGCCAGTTGCACCCTTTCCTTTCATGTACACCTGTAGCCTTAGAGTCACCCAAATGCTGAGACCCTTCACCATAAGGAATTCTCTGGCCCGTGAACAGTGTATCAGGCTGTGACCTATCCTGGCAGCAACCTCAAGTAAACTCAGGGTTCCCATGAAGAGACTTATTGAAGAGACCATTACAGAGATATGAGAAGAGAATCAGCAAAGGAACCTCGAGGTACCAGGTGCAGTCCAACCTCAAGCTCTGGTGCCTGCTATCTCCCTCTCTGCCACACTGCTCCCCTTGCCACTTCTACAGCTCTTTCAACTCCCTGGAGTCTTCCTTATATTGCCACCTCCTCAGTGAGCACTATGACCACTCCTTCCCAGTACCTCCTCCTCCCCCAGGGATAAACTACCTTGTGTCACTTAACAGCATCTGATATTTGTATATTCAATTGTGTTTATTATCTGCTTCTACCCACTAGACTGTGGACAGAGTCTTGTCTATTTGTTTATTGCTATCATTCAGGCACCTAAAACATTACATAGCCTAAAGAGCATGTGCAATAAATATTAGTTGAATGAATAAATGAAGACTAATTGGAATTTTTAGATCACATAGAAAGAATTACACAGAAGTGACATCTAATCCATCTTTCCCTCTTCCATTGGATAATCACTCCTATATGTGAAGCCTGCTGCAATGCAAAGAGCTGTCACTTGGCCACAAGAGGGTGCTGTTGATCAGCTTTTCATTTTGTAGGTGACAGAACGTTCTGAGATCATTCCCTCTCTTCCTCTGTAGACCCCAAAAAGAAAACTTGCACCAAGGTCATGTCTTCAGTCAATGCAAACATACAGTGTGTGTCTCATCTACCCTGATGTTACCCAAGTGAAATTCAGTTAAGATTTATATCAAGAATGATCTCAAAAGAGAAAAGTTCTCTATACAAAGGCACAGCATGAGAAACATGGAGAAGGAAGGAGCTGCTCTAGCCCTCCTTATCTTCCATAGTCTTCACCAACTGGCCAGACAACCTCTTGTTTTGTGCATGACCCTCTACCTTCCTTCCTTTTGCACCAACAAAACCCTCTTGGCTGTTCTGAAAAAGTGTGGGCTCTCACAAAACAGGGTCTAGCTTCAGGCCGCAAATGTCACCCTCCAAGGACTCCTTCATTCTTTTACTTATTCCTCTTTTATTAAGACATGATGCTAAGGGGCTGTGTGGGATAACACAGAAATCAAGGGGACATAAGTCAAGGTTAAGGCACCCAGTTATGACACCATAAGGCAAAAATATATAGGACGATAAGTTCAGAGAAGGAGTTAGCAGCAGCATTTGGAAGAAGGCCCAGAGAAGCTATCTCTGATTGGTAGGGCTCAGAGGCGATCTCATGAGAGTAAGACATTTGAATTGGGATTTGAATGACAGATAAGTTGCACATCTTTGTTGGGTTTTATCAAAAGCCCTCTCTGATTTTACACCCTTTCTTTTATTCACACTTGAATTTTAGAATGATTTTCATTGTAGCTGGGTAAACCAGCTATGTGCATTAGAGAGGTTAGTTTAGCACTTTTTTTAGTACTTCACACTCCTGTAAGACATAGCATAACATAAAAAGAGCTGTAGGAAGATAATGTGTTATTAAATAGTAGAAGGGAGCAAGACTTATATCCACATTGGTGGTTCTCAATTTCATGCCTCTAGCAATGCCAAAGCAGAGACTGAAGAATCTAACAAATTAAACTGTGTTTACTAAAAATAAATAAATAAACAAACAAAACAAAACTTGGGAGAATTTATATTATCTTGACTTAGGTTTAACTTTTCTCAACAGCACATGTAGAACCCATGAGTGGATAGTAAGGCCCCAGGACTCACAAAACCAATATGGTGGACTCTGGTCAAACATATTCTTTATTTGAAAGAGAGATACTCCAGAGGGAAAGCAAAAAAAGAAAAAGATTGGATATCGAGTAGCAGCTCTGGGGCGAAGACTTCTACTTCCTTCCCGGCCCACACCTCTAATACAAGGCCACAGCCACAGCTCCTCCTCTTAGGGGCAGTGTGAGGTGCAGTGTGAGGTGCAGTGATCACCCCAGATTAGTGCGGTAGAACTTCATCCACTTCTAGAGTGAGGAAGGGAAATAAGATATCCCTTAGCCTCTTCAAACTGCTCCTACTCATCATCAGGGGCAGGGCATCCACAAGAAGGTCTGGGTTTATGTACTGCAGGTGGAAAAACACATAACCCAGCAGCCTAATGAAGATCATGACCATGAAGACAAAACCACGGAAATGCCTGCAACGAGACAGTCATCATTAGCATGGGAGAAAGGGACAGCCCAAGGTCAAGAAGTGGGAGGTGAACCTCACACTCATAAATGGCTTGAGAATTGTTTTCTTCAGGCAAAAACTAATGGGGAAAGGCAGGAAATAAGGGTATAGTGGGAAACAGGTAAATGCAGAAAAAGAGTGAGGTAGCAGACAGGAATTGAATATAGCCTCCCTGACATTTAAGTTCCCCAATAGAATAGATAGATGACTATATGGAAAGTTGGAAGTCCAAAAGAAGATGACTTTCTGGGTACCATATGTGGGGCAGGCATTTTGAGGTTATTAGAAAAAGTTGAGAGCAGTCACACTGTGAGCCTCATTGCCATTGGCCCTCTTCAGGTCGTCCACAGTAAGCAGCTTTAGGGTGTGAAGGAAGATATAGCCATCTCTGACATTGACATCCAGGCAAAATGATGAGGACTGGCTTTTTCTACACACACAATACCAAAATAAACAAACTCAAACAATAAAATGTGTGTGTATTTTCTTGTGTGCCAATTCTACCCTGACCAGTGGTCTTAGACCTTAAGTCTTTGATTGTGGAGAAATAACATAAACTGGAGCTTTTCACGAAAGTACAATATGAAGAAGCACTTCAGAATCAGTCTCCTTATTTCAAAAATTAAAAAATGAAAAGGTGCAGAGTTCAAGCAGTGTTCTTTTTGCCTCTAAAAGTGCAGGAGAAGCAGCAAGATAATGAAAGCATCCTGAATTCTCTTTCCAAGAGAGTAGAGTAGAAGGTTACCATGTTCAGAACCAAGAAAATAGGAAGGGGTGATACTGAGAGTCATTAATGGAAATGTAAAGTGAAATGCAACACCCAGCCTTCTATGCAGAACTTGTAGCAATAGCCACTAACTCCTCTCCAGCTATTTATAGCTCTGTGGCTCTGGTGTTAAAACTGTGTTGAGAAAGGAAGGGTTGGAAGAAATCTGGGGCTGCCCAGTGTGTTCTGTTTCATGGGTATGTTTCTACCTATTCCTTTGTCCCCTATCAGGTCACCTGTAGAGTGAATGTGGCCTGACAAGGTCAAACCCAAGATTCTGTCACTTACCTGTACCAAAAGATCCTCTTGTGTTTCTTTTTGATGGCTTTCTCCTGTGGGAAGCAATAAAAACCAAAGCTGTGAATGTCCCGTGCTCACACAAAGGCAATATAACAGGGTGGCTGGGAGCAGAGATCCTGGGTCAGGCTGCCCAGGTTCCAAACCTGACTCTGCCACCTCCTAGATGCCATGGTGGTAATCAGGGCATTAAGCCTCATTTATTAAGTTATTAAAAAGAAAAGGGGAGCAAACAGAGGAGAGGGGAGAACAGGAGAAACCCTAAATTTAGAGAGGTAAGCCTTACCATGTTGCTTTGGATGGTCTCTACTAGAATTGACCCAGGCTTCACTATTTGGGAAGAGTTTTTCTGGGCTTTGGATCTGGGAGGAAAAAAGATCAGAGTCAAAAGGTAAAAAAAAAAAAAAAAACAGGATCAGAATAAAAAAGCATGTAATATAATCTGAGGGCCTGATAAAACGTGCTTTTCTAACACATTCAATGTGTCTGATTTTTGTTTACTAGATACTTAGTAACATTCACAATGTTCAACATGCTAGCCAGGTGCAGAGGCACACACCTGTAATTCTCAGCAACTCATGAGGCTGAGGTAGGAGGATCACAAGTCCGAGGCCAGCCTCAACAACTTAGACCCAGTCTCAAAATAAAATACGAAGGGCTAGGCATGTAGGTCAGTGGGAGAGCACCCCAGCATTTGGTTCTTGGTACTGCACAAACAAAGCAAGCAAACACAACGCCCAACAGTCAAAATTCATAATCGCTCAGCATACAAAAAAAACTAGGAAAATGTGATCCATTTACAAGAGAAAGACCATCTGTGAAGACAAAGCCTGATGTTGCCTGATGTTGTATTCAAACCATAAAGCCTGTCTTTCCGGGCAGCTCAAATGTCAGTTCACATCTTACCTCCTCAGCTGAGCTGCCTACAGACAGCCCTGAGTGTGCTTGGCCTGGAGATTGGCCACAGATCTGAGCAGAGTTTAGGGGCAGAATTTAGAACTCCCTTTGTTTGGCTCTCTAGTTTCTTTCCAGCATCTGTGGCTCCCTGGAACTCTATTCTCTTTTCTTTTAGCACAGAAAGATTTCAGGTTTTCTCTTGGTTTTAGCTGCCCCTTATATACACACTTTGGCAGTTACCCACAGGCTAGAAGCTATAAAAATGGAAAAAAGCCTCCTGCAGTTCTCCTCTTCCCAATGTCAACTCCTCTCTAGAATCTGCCATCCTTATTCATTCCCTGGTGCCTTGTTTATTTGTTGCTTTTTGCTCTCATTTAGAGTCTATAGTTATTTTCTGCTGGAGAGTCAATCCCAGTAAATCCTAACCCAGTCTTTTATTTTTTTTTTAAATAGGAATTTCTTTTTATGATCATGAACTATAGGAGAAAGGGGAGAAATAGCACAGATTCCTGATTCTTACCATAATGAGGTAGCTTGTATTAAATGAGCCTACTTCCAAAGGCAAAATACACAACAGCTGTCTGAATACACAGGCGAATCCAGTCAGAAGTAAAGCCCACTGAGAGGAGCTCCTCATTAATCCAAGCCCCTACACCCCCGCGAGGACATTTGCCAACACGTGATGAGGCAGGGAATAGAGTCCACGCAGCCAGTGGCAGCACCAATTGACTGAGGAGTCAGAGGTGGAGTTTAAGACAAAAGTGACTGCGATGGAGGGGAAATATTCAAGGGAAGTCTTCTTGATGTGGTGGCCAGCTCCTAAGCTATACACGGGTATCTCAAGATCTCACACACACACACACACACACACAAAAAAAAAAAACCTCAAAGAATACAGAAAGTGCTCAAGAGTTGATCAAAGGTAGTGCTGGGGAGCGGAAGTTGGAGTTCCAGATCTCTCAAACTTGAAGGGGAGGCTGGCACACTTTGCAGGGAAAAAAACATGATCCTTTCAATGATACCACAGGAGCACTGAACTAAACTTAATATCTGCCATGCTTAAAACACAAAGGATGCTCTAAATAAAAGAGTCTTAATCTGATAAAAGTGTGTGCAAGCAAGTCACAGGGCACATGTGCATCCTGGTGACTAAGTTAATACTTTACCCCTAAGTCCAGTGTCAAGTGTGTCCCCCCAGCCGGTATTACAAAGTCATAGCTGATACATTCAAAGCAAGAAAAAGCAATAAAAAAGATATAAAAGATTAAAGAGGAAAAAACATAAGTGTCATTCTTCATAGATGAAAGCCCCAAACAACCTACAAAATATTAGAATAAATGGATTTAGCAAGATTGACAGATACATGTTTAATAAATCTTAATAAGTCAACTGTATTAGTATACACTAGCAGTAATCAGAAAACCAAATTAACAAACATATCATTTGTAATAGCATGAAGCAACCAAATACCTAGAAATAGATCTGATGAAAGATTCATTAGAACACGATAGAGAAAACAACAATATATTATTGTGTGAAATTTAAAAAGATTTAAATAAATGGAGATCTAAAAACTTTCATGGCTTAGAAAACTATTATTTAGATGCCAATTATCTTCCAAATTTATCTACATATTCCATTCAAAATTTCAGTAATGGTTTTTCTGGTAGAAATTGAAAAATCAATTTTATAATTTATATTGAAATTCAAGGGGCCAAGAATAGCCAAGATAATCTCAACAAGTTAAAAAGTTACAGAAATTAAGTTACCATATATCAAGGCCAAGTATAAAGCTACAATAATTAAAACAGTATAGTAGCCGGGCACAGTGATACACACCTATAATCCCAGCAGCTCAGGAGGCTGAGACAAGAGAATCACGGGTTCAAAGTCAACCTCAGTGAAAGCGAGGCACTCAGCAACTCAGTGAGACCCTTTCTCTAAATAAAATACAAAACAAGGCTGGGGATGTGGCTCAGTGGTCGAGTGCTCCTGAGTTTAATCCCTGGTTCCAAAAAAAAAAAAAAAAAAACCCAAAACAAAAAAACAGTATAGTGCTGACACAGGGATAAAGATGGAGACTAATGGTACAGAATAAGATATTCAAAAAACAGACTCACACATATACATCACCTAATATATAAAATAAGGCTCCTCTATAAATTCACTCTCTCTTTAATAAATGGTGCTGGACCATTTGGACCCAGAAAAAAAAAGAAATTCCAGATGAAAGTAAATGTAAGTGTAAAAGGTAAAACAATGAAATAAATCTTGGTGGAATCACAGGAGAATAGTCCTATTATGGCCTATAAAGAGCATTAGATAATAAAGTACTGATAAATTTTATGGTTTACATGTCCTTTAAATGAAGAACTAATGTTTATCCAAAAATGCCATTAAGAAATTAAAAAAGAAAAGCCAGAGAATAGAATGCAGTACATTTTACAAAAAGGTTAAAGGAAAAAAAAATACAAGAAACTCCTCTAAATTAATGATAAAAGACCAAAATATCCCAAATATAGGCAAAAGATATGTCATGTAAATGGATAGCCAAATTTCCAAGAAGCATTTGGGAAGCCATATAACATCATTAGTGCTCATTAATTACATTAATAAAATAAAATTATATATCACTATACCGCCTACCAGAATGGTTAAAATCAAATAGACTTTCAATACTAATTGAAAGTGAGGATGCAGAGCAATTAGAATGTTTGTACAGTTTTGTGGGAAGGATATCAGTGCAGCCACTGTAAAAATTGTCGGGCTTATCAAGTAAACCAAAGAGATGTGTACCCAGTGACTGGAGAGAAATGAGCGGATAGGTCCACCAAAGCACAAGCACAAGAATGCTTACTTAAAAAAGAAAAGAAAAAGAACATTTATAACAGTTGTATTTTAATGTCCCCAAACTTGAAATAATCAACCTGTTCATCAAAACTAGATCAATTGTGCTGTACTCATACAGTGGGATACTCTACAGCCACAAAAAAGCAACACCTATAGCAGCGTAAGGGAATCTCAGTGAAAGACACAAAAGAGAACACATACTGAATTTATGCAATGTTCAAGAACAGAGTTTAAAAACAATAAAAGAGTAATTGTTAGTGTTACCTTTGCAAGGAGTACTAACTGGGAGGAGGATCTAAGGGAGAAATCTGGGGTGCTCAAAATGTTCTACACATAAATGAGAATTTTGATATTTTATTTCAATGAGAAGGTGGTATTAAGTGTGCATCTGTGTATAAAAATTCATCAAGCTATATACTTAAGATTTGTGCAGTCTAAGACTATTATACGTAATACAATTAAAAAGTATCGCCGGAAAATGTGATGAGTCCTGAGACATGCAAGTCCAAGACACAGAGTTTAAAGGGGCATGACTGGGGCCTCTGGTCATTCCAGTGGGTCCACTGTGTGTGTCCTGGGAAAGGGGATAGCACATCCACACGGAGAAACATTTCTGGGCCTCTTTTAAACTAGGATTCTTCCTCTCTGAGTGTTGCTTAAGTCAACTGAAGATATGTGAAAGGAACGTAAAACAGAGACTTTCTAAAACATAAAAAAGTTACTGAGGAGGGCGAAAGAGAAGCCCGAACGCTGATGATTTTCCAGTCTAGAACCTGAAGTAGAGGCTTCTGGGAAAGAGTTGCTGGAGGTCATTTACACAGTGACACCAACTATCCTGAGAACGGTTCACCAACTACTCCTCCCTTCAGGGATCTCCCAGGACTGTCGCCTCAGCCCATCAGGGTGGTCACTTTTCCAAACTTACATTTCTTTTTCAAGCAACAGCATTTCTTCTTCCTTTTCCATCTTCCTCAGAATTTCCTGGTATTTCTTCCCATGGGGGGAGGAGATATCATAAATGAGAATTTTGATATTTTATTTCAATGAGAATAACTCACAATATTCTAAACATGCATGGGTATGAACAAAGTAGGGAAACATCTGATAAAAACTAAGGAGACGGTAGAAACCAGGATGGATCTACATGAACAGTAGGAGCCCTCACTCTGGACCCTGCTTGAACCCAAATCCCAGTGCTGACACATGAGCTCCCCAGCAATGCTCCCTAAGTCTTTGAGACCTCGGTGTTCTCTTCCTCATGACAGTATCAGCCTTGCTGAGTTACTAGACACATTGATTAAGAAAAAGACTGCATTTTTCAAAATAAAGACCGAATCCTTAACATACATCTGTTTTGTTGTTGCTGCGATTGCTTAAAAGGCATTTTCCCCAGTGGCAGATCCCAGCCTAAGGAGAAACCAAGCATCCCGTGGTCTTGGGGGAAACTGCCTCTACTCTGACTTCTTTTGGAGGTGGTGTACCTTTATGTAGTGGGCCTGGTCCTTGCAGAGCTGATACACAGATTGGTAGTCACTCTCTAGCTAGAAAGAAAAGGAAATTAACAAGCTTCATGAGTTAAATCAGAACTAAGCTGTTCCCTGAAACCTACCTGGGGCACTGGACACTTGGCTGGTTACCTAGCAACTCCTGACTTGAAAGGAAAACAACCACCTCACAAAGAGGTGATCTCATCATTCACACAGGATCTAATTCTGAGAAAAGGAACTCACCAGAAACGCCAGGGGATGGTATAGGGCAATTAGGACTGGGATTCAACAGTGGTATCTAGAGTGGGAAATGTTTAAGAAATGGGAAGAGCAGTACTTCTAATGGAAGTGCTCTTTCTTGCCATTTGCATGTGAACTGGAAATTCACTTGCCAGATGTTCTTGTACCTCCCCCTCCCTTGCTTCCAAGTGGTTCTGTTTTTAAGACCCTGAGAGTTCCCTCCTATTCTAATCCTGGGTAGACGCTCAGTGTGGTGACACTGCTCTACCTTAATCATTTCTTTCTCCTGCTCTGCACAGGACTCTGATGACTTCTGCAGTCTCACCTATGGAAGACAAGTGACAGCAGAAAGCTAATAGCATTTCTTTGTGCAAGACAAATGTGTAAAAATCACCCGCTCCAGACGAGTAGAATGCATGATAATAACAGTTATCCTGTGTTGTGGACATGGGAGGCTAATGTAGGGTAGGCATGATTATTACTCTCATTTTATAGATGAGGAAACAAAGGCAAAAAGAAATTAAGTACATAACTTGTCTAAGTCTCTTAGGGGCAGAACTGACATTGAAACCTTAGGAGACCGATTCCTTGGGGAGCCTACCCATCCTCCCTCCTCCAGTCATAGTCTGCAGGGTGCACACCATGTCCTCTGCATACACAGGGAGCAAAACAGAAAGCTTGCTTCTCCTTTTTAGAGAAATGCTAAGATCAGTGGGACTCTGGCACAGTGAGCTAGACCAAGTTGCAGTATTCATCACAAGAATCTGCAGAGTTTCCCAGTGGGGTGTTTGCACCTATTGGGAGTACAACTTATTCTTTCATTCAACAAACATTTATTGGGCATTTACTATGTGCCAGGCTTTACTCTAGACATTGGGTTATAAACAACATAGTTTCAAAAATTTATGTTCACATTGGTTTACCTTTTACTAGAGGGAAAAGATAATAAAATACATTTCAAAATAAAACTTATTTGGCCTATGAGCCATTGCTTGGAAAGTCAGACGAGATGATTAACATACTCTTATATAATTGTGGTAGTTAGTATTTCTTCCTGCTCGAATACCGGTGTTAGAGTATCCTCACTAAGATCATAAACTTCTTGAGGGCATGTCCCAGTGGACATTCAGAACACGCATTTTATTAATGCGTGATGAGGCCTCTGTTATAATTCCCTCCACCAGGTGGCACTGTAGTCATCTCTGATACTAGTGTAACTAATAATGTCCCTGCAAGACATGGGATTAAAGTAGAGGGAATAAAGGCCACCTGCTCACCTCTGATAAGCACACAGGCCTCCTCTGCACCTTGCCACCTTGCCTAGGAGAGTCCTTGAAATAATTTCTCCAAGTGCCTAGCAGTGATACATCTCCCAGAAAATCTCTAGGTTTGCTGTTCTACTCACCTTCAATTCTTCTAAAATCTGGTTTTGGGCACTGTTATCAAACTCAACATTCTTAAATCTTGAAATCTGAAATGTATTCCAAAAACTGTGAACTTAGTAAGACACACAAACATAAAAACATGGTCCAGTGGTAGAGTCAGGGGTCCCAGGCTACACAATGGGACTACTAACTCAGGTCCTGAATTAGTTCAGGAAGATGACAATTCTACTGGGATTCCTAAGAAATGATCCTGGTTTCCAGGGTGGACTCTGCCATGTCGAAAACAGCCCTTCTGTTAGAGTACATATGTATTTCCACATTCTGAGTTGTGCACAGGATTCATTTCTCATGCTCCCATCCCACCTGCCCCCCTCCTCTTTTTGGTACTGGGGATTGAACCCACTGAGTTATATTCCTAGCTCTTTTTTATATATATTTTATTTAGAGACAGGATCTTGCTGAGTTGCTTAGGGTCTCGAAAAGTTGCGAGGCTGGTTTTGAACCTATGGTCCTTCTGGTCTCAGCCTCCTGAGCCGCTGGGATTACAGACATGTACCACCGCACTGGGACTGCCCACCTTTCTCTTGAGCAGGTAGTGTGCTAGGGATCCTAGGACACCCAAACCCAGAATCCACCCCTCACCTTGTTCTGAAGCTCCATCACATTGTTGCTGAGGATCTTATTCGTTTTTTCCTATAGGAAGAAGGAGGTAAAAGGGACAAAAGTGCCCTGCTCTTGTACCTTTCCCCTCACTAGACCACTCAAATCATCAAGAAATGAGTGTGTCTTGTGGGAAAAGTGCACTGTGGGCCCCATGTAGCAGATCTGAGACAGAGCCCAGACCTCAACTCCGTGCTGAGCACTTCACTCTTAAACCACTGCAATTTCTACAGGTGCAGAAGTGATGAGCACATGATGGTCCCCTAGGAAAGAGAGTGGAAAAAGAGGCACAAAGGACCCCTATGGTCTTTCTCCAGAGGGCTCCTTACCAGCTTTGCTGACTCTAGTTCCAGGTTCCTCAGGGTATCCTCCTTCTCAAATATGATCTGGTTTAACTCCTCCCTCTCTTTGGCTTGTCCTATTGACAGGGTGATATCTCTTTCCAGACTGAAAAATATAAAGTCACCCAGGTGTGGCCCAGTCCTAAGGAAGCTGTGGAGGCCCCAGCTTGAGAAGCCACTCCCAGCCAGACTCAGAGAGCAGGAGCAGTTATATTTTGCAACGGCAATCAAACGTGGAGAAAATAAACACAAAAGTCCCTAGATAAACCCTTTGACGGTACTACAGTTCATGTTTCAGAATTTAAATAAGGGGCAAGACTGGCCACCAAGAAAGCAAACCTTCCTCCCACCTTATCTCTAACCCAAGGGGCATCCATGGAGCCCTTCTTTCCAACCAACCGCAAAGCCTGACCTTTGAATAGTTTCTTCTTTCTCCTGAATTTGTCTAAGAAGAACCTGATTTGCCTCATCCAGTCTCAGCAGGTCCTTTTCAAGGACTGAGTTCAGGTAGTCAAGATTCTGCTTTGTCATTTCTAAGTTTGGTATTTCCATCATCTTGTGCCTACAGGAAAATCCTCTTCTTTACTAAAATCAGGACAGGAAACAAAAAAATTAAGAAGACTTTCCCCTCTAATCTCATCCATTCCCATCTCCTGTTGTCACCAAGCCTAACCAGCTCTTTATTTTTCATGATAAATTGATTTCCTATAGTGTTTTGCATAAATTCCTCAAAATCAAATTGCAATTTAATATTAAATACTGTAAGTGAAACCCATTAAAACACAAATATTTCATGGAGCAAAATAAAAGGTTTTTCATATGAATAATTATACTCCGACTAACTTGTCCTTAAAAACTTTAGATAGGGTATGTGGAATCCAAGCAAAACCTAGAAAGCATTTAAAGATCTGCAAGGGAGAGGAGTTTCTTCAGTCTCTTTTTATTATAAACTTGAAAGTCTTCTAACTCAGGCAGGAGTCTAGGCTGGGTAGAAGGCAAGGAGGGGGATGGATTTTTTTTCCCCCACAAACAGGACCAATTTGCTGAGTGAGACACAGCAATTTGCTATCACTTTAAACCCAGTGAATATAGTCTCATGAAGTACAGGAATAAAACCAAAGTTACTTCTCCCTAAGAAACCTCCCCAGTACTGAGGAGGATCATGTTCAGCACAGATGAGGCTGATTATCTTAACATAGTGGTTCCTCTCCTGAATTCCATTATTGTTCCTGATACTTGCCCATCATCCAATGGATTCTGTCCAAGTTCTTCCATTGTAGATTTCCTAAAATGTTAACATACACATTTGTTGTGAAAATGAAGGACCTATTGTTCTGACCAGTGACTGGTCCAGGAAGGAGCAGGTACAAGTTAGACCCTGTGATTAGGCAAGACAGAGCCAAGAAGAGGCCAAAGCCTTTATTCCTTCACTTTCTACATCAATTGTGACTTATCAGCAAACTAGATCATAGTTTAAGATCTCATAAATGAATCCCACTGAAGTATAGAAATCTTTTTCATTTTTCAAAAGAATTCACTCTATCTTTTCCCTTTCTTGTCTATATTTGTCCCATTGGGCAAAGTATTGGGGGTACTCATGAATGTCTACAAATGCATTGACACTTTATTTCTAACCAAAACTTTCATGGAAAGAGGGAGAAAAATAATCATGGAAGAGTCAGAGGGTACCACAAACTTGACTGCCTGATTTCTTTTAATCTATTGCCCTCCTACTTTCAGGCAAGCTCTGGATATCACAGGCCAACTTGATCCAGAAACAGCAGCACAAGCAACAAGATGACAATTGCTAGAAGGAAGAGACAAATATCAAGGTCTGAAGGGGCGTCTCCTAACCACTGCACCAAAACAGGAAGTGCAGTACCAAATTCAATCTAAAAAAGGCCGACTGCCAAAACCTTTCTCTTTTCACATTGCATCTTCTCTTCTTTTCTCTGAGCATTGAGCTTTTTTTTTTTTTTTTAGTTTTACCTCCTTTTTTAATTCCTTCTCTTACCTTCTTTTCCTTTGATCCCCTTCCCTACATTTCTCTCTTTTTTTCTGCACTTTTTTGCACACAAGGCACCTCAGGTTGTGGTGATGCACCCTGAACTCACCTTTCTTTTCCCAACTGAGATTTCCTCTGCTCCCAACAGAGATTTCCAATTGATATCAGAACTTCCAGGAAAAAAAAAACATTTCCTGGCTGACTGAGTTTTCCAAATATAGGGGGGAATGTCCTCTCCAGCTGGGTGGGGCAGCATGTCATAGTGGGTAGGGATGGTTGGGGTGGCAACAGTACCTCCTCATGCCTGTAGCAGATTGGGAGCAGAGTCCAGAATTTTTGGACAGTTTGGAGGTCTTCTCAAACAGCAATAAGATCTATGGAACAAATTTCCAGGCCCAGTATAAATCTCTTCTGAAGCAGTAATCGACTCTATGGATTGTGTTTCATTCTCCCAAATCTCTAGGCCTAACAATAATTGTGATCACTCTACTTCTCTTCCATAATCTCTGTGTGGCATCTTCACAAATTTCTGCCCCCAAATCCAAACCATGCATCTTTATTCAATGCATCTAAGATCTCCTAAGTAGGAATGCTGGCAATGTTCTGAGTGAAGTCTTATTCGTGGGCTAAGTAAGTCCTCAAATCTCTACAAAGTGGAATCTGGGAGCTGCAAAACAAACTCCTTTGTTTTCCCCAAACTGGCACTGCCAAGTCATTGGAAAGGAAGGGTCTCATGTTTCAAAGGTGGAGTATATGGAGGGGGAGCAGGAATAAAGAAAGAGGAGTGTTATGTCCAGATTCCCACTCCTTCAGAATTCCCCCTCTATTTTTTAATGTCTTAAATTACTGGAACAGCAAAGGGAATTTAACATATACCAATGTCGCTGTATGAAGCTTTCCTGAATTCCTCCTTGTTATAGTTTGGATCTGAAATGTCCCTCAAAAATCTCATGTGTAGGCTTAGTCACCAAGGCAGATGTGTTCAGAGGTGGGACTCTGGGGAGGTGATTGAGTCATGAAAGTTTTGACCTCATCAATGGATTAATCCATTTATGGATTCATAGTTTAATGCATAGTCAGGTGTAGAAACTTAGAATGTGGGGCCTCATTAGAATGAGTAGGTTCTTGGGGGTGTGCCCTTGAAAGATGCATCTTATCTCTGGTCTTTGGGCCACTCCCTCTCTGCATCCTGGCCACCATGAAGAGAGCAGCTTTGCTCTACCACATTCTTCTCCATCATTTTCTGGCTCATAACAGACCCAGAAACAATGTGATCAGTAGACTATGGACTGAAACCTTTACCCATGAGCCAAGATAAACCTTTCCTCCTTTAAAATAATTTATCTTAGGTGTTTTGTCACAATTATGGAAAGCTGATTAATATTCTGTGTGTTGCCTAAGAATGTGAGACAGGATACGGAATGGAAAGACATCCATAAAGATATGTACTTGACTTCAGATCTGTCCATTTCTGAACCTCACAGTCAATTCACTCTTCCATGATCAAAGTCCAAACCTTGTCCAGATAAATTGCAGTAATCTCAAGTCTCTGAAAGTCATTCTAGAACACACCACTACCCATAGGAATGTCTCTTCCATGCACTAATATCTGTCACAATCTTATCTAGACTTCTCGACTCAGCTCAAATGCTGCTGCTTCTGGACCTTCTGCAATATACCAAGCCCTGGTCCCTGCAGAATAAATCTTTCCAACAGCTGTTCTTCTCTTTTGGCAGCTTATATTATTTTAAATCTGGTCTCCATCTTACAGTTTGGTTATATACTCCTCAGGAGAGTGTGTTTTAATTGTGTTGACTTTGATACTCTTCCATAGTTGTGCTCCAGAGCCACTGTTTACAAGGAATTCAATGTGGGAATAAACTGGGTTAGAGACAGAATGCATCTGCCTTTCATTCTCTCCTGGGACTTTGTGGTTGCATTACCTTGAGAAAATTCCTTAATCTCCAAGAGCCTGACTCCTGACCTGTGAAATGAGCATTACTCCTACTTCACAAAGTTGTGGTGGGGATGATGGGAAAAAAACACATGTAAAGCCAACACATAGCCAGCCAGGTGTGCAGCGGTACTTTGTTCTCACCTACATTCCCCAACACAGTGTGCACTTCATTGTCCATCTCATGTTACATTTGCACATGACACATGCTGAATGATTTGGGAATAAATGATTCATTCCACTGCCTTTGTCTAGAACAGGTGTTGCCCTTTTCTTCTTCCAATACACCTGAGAGACTCCCACCTGTACACTGGAATTAGTACACTCATTAGCCACACGGTGCACTATGGCAGAATTCTCAACAGAAGGCCACATCCCCCAGGAGGCTGATCCACAATCAGCAGGAATGTAATTTGAAAGCCTCGGTTAAACATCCAGGGAAAGAGGCACCTCTGTGAGAAGCACTGATGAAGAACATATTCTTCCCATCAAACTGTACCTTCCTTCCCTCAAAGACACTGCACAAATTCATCCTGTCTATAAAGCCTTCCGAAATGAGCCCTTTCTAGGTTATTGCTGCAAATAGACAATATATACTTTGAGAGTGACCATATTTTCCTTTCTTCTTTGAAGCTGCCCATTTTTTTCACTATACTGAACATTGCAGTCCATAGTTTTCTTTTCATTTTATTCTCTATTCCTATTTCACAAGGTCCTGATTTTTAATGTATTGCCCTATCATTTTGTTAAATATGGATATAGATATGGATTGTACAGATATAAATAGATGAGGCATGGATACCGATGTAGAAGTAGCTAATAGACAGGGACATGAGAGAGGAAGTGGGCTGAGTGTAGTGAGTAATAACTGGCTGGGGAATCAAAGCAAAGTACTTTGAGCAACTGCTCCACCACTTCCCAGATGTAAAGACTTGAACAAGTGATTTAAACTTTCTGAGCCTTGGTTCCCTAATTTACTAAATGGACATAATGTGTACCTAATTCATAAAATCATGGTTAAAGTTGAAAAAAGATGTATCATAATCTCTGACACAAAATAAATGCTCAATAAGATGATAACTAAAATTATCATCATTATTAAAAGCATCTAAATGTGCTCAGGATCATTAATAGTTCCATCTTCACTCAGCGCTTCAGGAAATTCCTCCAGTCTGTCTCCACCAGCAATCATTTGTCATACCCTTTCCTTAGTTTTTGCTTTTTGTTTAGCCTCTGGCTTCACTTGACCTTCACTTGTGCCCCGGACACTGCCCTTTGGCTCTTTCTTACATTCACTCCCGGTCACCCATAGACCATACTCCTTCAACTCTGTACCAGAATACAACCTGGAACTAAATGTCCCAATTTCTTTAGGTAGGGCCTGAGGTCCATCAGATGCTTCAAGTCTCTTGTGAATATGTAGGATATGTGACAGCCACACGAAGAATGGGACATAGACCAGTGAATAAATTTACGCAGTAGTTGATTAAGGGAGAAAAATTGGGGGATTTTATTGCTAGAAGCAGAAATTGGGGCAGGTTATATTAATTAAAAATTGAAAGCACTCTTAATACAGAGATATTTGTGCTGGATATTTATAAAAGGTGGGTTGAGAATTTTCAATTTGATCCAGTGTTTGGAATATCGGGATCTCTAAATGTTCTTAGTTGTTTATCATCTTCTTCTGATAGATTACTCCAAGATGATAGCCTCCTTTATTAACTTTTTATTTTAAAATAATAAGTTGCAAAAATAGTGTTGAGAGGCAGCACATACCTACTTTTCCCAAATACCTTATGTAACTATGGTGCAATATTGAAAGCAGGAAATTTACATTGGTTTAATGTATGTGCATATTTTTATGACAGTTTGTCAGAAGTGTAGATATGTGTTACCGTCACTGCAGTGAAAATTCAGAACTTTGATATGCACAAACATCTTCCTCATGCTACTCCTTTAAAGTTCACCCTCTTCCATCTCCTCCACCATCCCTAATCCCTGGATGCCCTAGTCTGTTTTCCATATCTATAATTTTACCTCTTCAAGAATGTTATGTAAATAGAGTCACATGGTATATGATCTTTTGAGGTTGTCTTTTTAATTTTTTTTTACCCTTGAGACCCATCCAAATGATTTTGTAAAACAATACATTGTTCTTTTTTATTGAGGAGTAGTACTCCATGTTGAGGATATTCCACAATTTGTTTAATAGTGAAGGGCATTTTTGTTGTTTCTAGGTTTGGCTATTGCAAATAAAGCTACTATGATCACATGTATAAACATTTTTTTTATGGATATAAATTTTCTTTTTCTGGG